TGTCCGGTTCCACATCACTGATTGTCTTCAGCATACACCAGCAATATTTGCTTCCAGAGCTAGCAACAGAGCTATTAGGCGATAGCAAGCGCACGACTAACCTGGTGAACTGAGCAACCAACTGGATGATCTTCTTGCCCAATACAAACTTCCTTTGGATCAGGCAGATCTGACAGACTAGTCGTAAGACCTGAATCACAACTCGGGGAGAAGAGGATTTCATGCATATTCTTCTCAGAGCTAGATTAGCCAATCGGCATGCCAGATGGTAATTGCAATTGGCGCAGTAAAAGAAGCCCAATTCGGCTAATGCCAAAGCCGTGCAAATTCCACCAGTTCGCTCATCGTTGTCGGGTGAATGATGAGAGACATTCGCAACAGGAATAGTATCTTGGGCGAGACTACTCAAACACTCACTCTCGTTAATACTGGTAACAATGGTTGATCGTCGTTGCTGAAATAGAGCAGTAATTAGAACCTACTTCGCCTTATTATTATTATTCTTAGATAGCAATCGTACAAGGCTCAAGTCCAGTGGGGAAAGCATTTCGCTTTGAGTGGAGTGGCAGAATCATGAAATTCATCTGATGAGATCTCTCATCTTATTCCCCACCCCCTCCCCCACAAAATTAAGCGGTGTAGTCGGCCATTCCCCCTGCTCAACCCTTGACCTTTACATATCACTGAGCAGACTGTATTTGCGATGCCATCAGCCTAAGAAGTATCTATTTATGAAAGGCCGACAATGTTTGGGGTGAGCATTGTTACGTCAGATATTGCAACACATCTAATGGCATGGATGACCAACCACACGAGTTAATTCTAATCAATAATAGGAGTGACAGAATGTAAATTTCCTGCAAAATCGAATTCAAGTTATCTTTGCCCCACTAAAACCAAGTGCTGTGAACACACTCTAAAATGGATTAAAAAATTTATTGTCTCCAAACTATGGAGGAATCAAGGAATTCTCAGAATCTTCCCTTGACATTATGGGAGAGAATAAGATAATGATGGTAGTATACTTGATAAAATCTCCATAATACGAAATGGTATCTCGATAGGGTAATTTAATGAGCTCAACCATATCAGACTATTAACATTCACTTTCTTCAATGCGTTCTCCATTCGTGAACTGGGAGATTACATTGGCCCTGTCTGTCGAAGTACTATCGGTACGGTGGGCCTATCAAGAAGCATTATAAATATAGCAATGCATTCTACGTAAACCAATTGTTAAAAATATGAAGGCTTTCGGCCATTACAATGATTCGATTAGACCGATTGACACATATCTTTAGATTAACGATAACTTTGTCGTTTGCTGCACACACAGCTACGTAGAATTACGAGTTCATGTCTCTCAAATGCAAAGGAGAGGGAAAATAGCAGGCCTCATATCACAACCAATAAAGACTCACAGAAGTGACTCTACATGATGAATCAAAACTCATCTCTTCCAGAGTGCCGGGTGGGAATGAACAAAAGGAAGGATCGCGAAGAAATCCAGCAGAAAGATCACAACGAGGAAGAGAGGTGAGTAATGCCTCTTCCTCCTCTGTGTTCACAACTAGA